GGCCTCTGAGCAACATGACCTGTTGAATGCCCCCTCTCATCGCAGAGGATTTGCACCAGATGACCTTTAAAGGTCCCTTCCAGCCCAAACTGCTCCATGATTCTGTGATTATTTTTTTAGAGTAAAAGTCATATATAAATCTAAGGAAAGAGAAAACTTAAGAAGGTAAAACCCAAAACCTACGAGTCAGGCAGACTTCTGTTGACTTCAGTGGCATTTTTCAGATCTCAGTAGTGTGAGAGGAAGAGGCCAGCACCTTACCATGGCAAATAAACTCTTAAGTTTTCCTTCAGGGAAAGCTTTTGTGGGTCATTTCTTCAGTGAGCTGAACTTTGAATCTGATTTCAGTCAGCAGACTGTGCTGAACTTTTTTGTTGAACAGGTCTTGGCTGTCAGTAGCCAGTCTGCACAGAGCTTTGATTTGCACAGTGAAATGCCTGATGACTGTTTGTTTTGATATTATTAACTGATACATAGCTGTATTTTTTAGCAGTCACTCTTCAGCAGAGACACTCTTAAAATTCCCAAGTGATCAGAAAATTTTGCTCGAGTAATCCTGAAACACAAATAGCCACTGTCAGCACGTGTCAAATTTGTCATTAGCAATTCCTATTTCTAAAACTGTGCAATGACTTTTGACCCAGCCCAACACCCCGTGAGTTCCCAAAGCAGGCAGCATGTACAGCAATTTCCTGGTCCACAGGATAGCAAGTTTGCAATGTGTAACTAGCCTGCAGTGATAGGAGTTGGCAAGAAATTGATGTTTAGAGTAGCAATAAATATCGCTAATGAAACAAATTTTATGAAACTGGCTCCAAAAGCAGCTAAATGATGCACATGGATATCTGAAATTTATACCACTCATAGTTTTTTGAGAAGAAACTGACATCAACAATGATTTTCAGATTATTTCATTAGGTCTTTCCTTCTCTAGTCAAACCCCTTTAGGATTCCAGGCTTCATGTGGCAATTAATTAAAAACATTTTTCCTCGAAGAGAAATCATAATAAAGGGTTTTGTCATCCAACTTCTGCTAAAAAACAATGGCAAAACTCCCTTTTGAATTCTAAGAAGAAAATGATCAGATCCAATGTCTGTAGCTACCGACTATCATAAGGATTAATCTGAGAGGTTTGGAAGAATTTCCCCTAAAGCAGGAAAAGCCATCAAAAAGGCAATGTGTGAGGCAGCAAAAGAAAAAAAATTGCTGAAGAGAAACCTGCATTTTTCTATAATCTCTATAATGAGGATGGTTATGAAAATTACCAACTCAGTCTGTTATGTGTAGGCTTGTTGCATGCATTTACTACACCTTTTCCTTAAATTTTTCAGCCAGGCTTGGCTATATTGAAGTTTCGTCTGTATATAAGAAGTTTCTTCTTAGAACTTGGAAAGTTCCTTAGCACAGGAGTGGTCCTTTCGTTGTTTACTTCCAGCAACAGATGATCCTGTGACAGATATTATTGATGCAGAAGTAACAAAGAAAGCAACACAATGACAAAAATTTACCTTTTCTTAAGTTAGGTTTTGATGTAAAAGGTACTGGGATTGCTCACACTAGATCCTGGGGTTACTCACAGTCCTCAGTGTGTAAATCTTGTAGAACCTGGCTGATATTCACTACGGAAGGTTTTGTGCTGGGGACTGATTCTTCATCCCTTACACAACTAGCACTCTCCAGATCCATAATTTAAAAACCTTGATTTCTGCTCTTAATCAGACTTTGGATGCCAGAGTTAGAGGGACAGAGTGTGCTGTCGTTGTTGGGCTTGGGTTCTGTTCAGGCCCTGCACAGAGGAACAGCTTCTGGGCAGAGTGGACTTCTGGGAAGGGCTCTGGTCTGAGAGACTTCTTTTGATGCTGTTTGTGTTTTATAGCTTTTGTCTCAGGGCCCAAGCCTGGATGAGATGTTGCAGATGTGGCACTAGGTGCTGAGAACCTCATGGGCTGGCTCTGAGCCCTGGGCCTCTTTCCTGCTCCAGTCAGACAGTGAAGGCACTGATAACACGTGGTTTGGGTTTTTAGTCTCATCAGAGATAGACTCTGTGTCACTGACAGCACATTTAGTGTCCTGCTTTGGCATTATTTCTTATGTCCTCGACTTCCCCCTGTACACAGCCTTCAAATATTTTGTTCACCAGCTTATACCATGAGGCTGGGTGATGTCCATCTCTGTTTTCTCCAGGCTGGACTGCTAGGGAAGTAGAAAACCTATGGAACACGCTGGATATCCAGAGGTCCAGCTCCTGGGTCTCTTTAGCCTTTTCCCTGAACAGGAACACTAAAAGAGCTTTGTATGGAGACCTTGTGGCACAAGAGTGAATATAAAAAGGGTATTTCCAGGTTGCCATCAGGTTCTCCAGTCAAAAAAAAAGGATGTTTTTGTGTCAACTGTCCTTGGTGGAACAGTGTTTGTGAGTGCCCTAAATGTATTGTATATGTTCCAACTGTGATTGGACAGGCATCCACAGAACTCCAGGGATTCTTCTCTTCCTAATCCATTCAGATTTGCTTCTAGAAACACTGATCACACTCAACATGTACCTATAAATTTCTGAGGTGTTCAAAGACTGCTCATTTTAAATTCTTGTCTGCTAGCTTACTAAACAAGACCATCTGAATTATGGTGTGCTTTGTTTTGGTTTGGGGATTTTGAGTTTGCTTTTTGGGCTTCAGCTTTTTTTTTTTTTTTTTTTGGTTTTGCCTGCTTTTTGCATCATTTACACTTTCATAAAAAGGGGTCTAGAAGGTTGAAGAGATTTCAAGGTGGCCACACAAACACATCTGGCATAGCGTTTTCTATGAAGACATATTTGCACAATTATCCAGAACTCCTTTGCATACCTTCAACATTTTTTCATGAACTTGAATAAAAATTAAACTGCATTTTCCCAGGCAATGAATAAAGGGCCTGTGAGCAACATCAAAGCAAATGTGTGTGTGGTTTATTCTTAAAGCATTACAAATACATTGATTTTTTTTTTTAAACAGAATTCTCCCAGCTCTACTCCTGCTAAATTCACTTAAAACCAAATAAAGCATATTTTGGTGCTATGTATTTTTCTCAGCATTTCACGGTTTTTGGGGACATTAACATCTGGTTTTATTTCCTTGTTAATTCCTTTTCCTGACTCTGAATATAAAATTTTCAGGAAAGTATGATTTCAAGGATAGGATGTTTGTATGCTTTTAAAAAGCTCCATCTTAGTATATGTTGGGATATACAATTTATTGCAGAGCAAAACAATAATAATATACTATATATATAAATAATATATGTAAATATACATACATAAAACACACAAAACAATAACAATATACAGAGATAATACTTTATTGTGCAAATATATTGTCGCTGAGAAGAGAAAAGGAGGAATATCAGAAGACTTACAATCTTCACACAAAAAAGATGCATTGAGAGAAGATCCTGGAGAAAGCTGTTTCAATAGTAGGTTGTGACAACAGTGCTGAAGGAAATTATTTTAAACTAAAATGTTGTGCTATTTATACCTCTATTTTCACAAAAACACTGCAACAGATTCCTCCCACAGTGGAGAGAGGACTTATACAAAACTTATACTTGCCAAAAAAGAAGCAACAGTAAATATATCCTCATACACACCAACCTTTTTTCTATACTACTATTTTTATAATTCTGAAATGTAGATCACAGTCAGATTTATTAGTTTAATCTTAGTGGGATCACTGCCTCTGCATTCAACCAGCACAAATTTGGGCCCCTTTCTTCTTCTTCTACTTCTCATTAGTTTACTGGGATAATAAACCTCTCTCACTTTGAAGTATTACTTTAAACAAGGAAGGGATCCAGTCTCATGAGTAGCTTTCACTGCTGATGCCTTCTCTCTTCCATGGAAGACACAAACTTTTAGGCAATTTGTTAATTCCCCACCCCCTCGGAGAAATAAGAAAAGAGTCAACTGCCTTTCAGATTCTCGTTGTACCCAAATGAGATTCATCCAGATGAGACTGATCCTGAAGTGACACTGAAAGAGGCAGGAACTAAGGATACTCTGCCCACCCGAAATGTGAAGAAGGTTGCTTGAAGGAACAGGATTTTCTACCAGACTATTCCAAGCATCTCAAGAGCACTGAGACTTGTCAGAAAAACACAGTTGTGTCAGCGTTGTGCTTTTGCAGGGTGACGTTGGTTCCTTACCTGCTTACTGGAGAATTTGTCTGCGTGAAAACTTCTAATGCAATGCTGGGACCAGAAGGACACAAAAATGTGACATCCACTGCAAAGTGAGAGAGTTTCCTTTGGGTGGGTGGGTCGGTTTTTCCCCCCTGTGGAAGAAGACAGGGTTAATTAGTTGTGAATCTGTTCTAGCAAACATAAAGAACTCAGGAGGAATGTGCTTCCTTGCTTGTTCTTTGGGACCAGTGAACTATCACTTCCTTTCTCACAAGGAATATATATATGTGTAATATTCATTTGTTAAGATTGAAAGAGGAAGATCTGTAAATTGGGAGGATATCAGTGACATAAGGAGGGATGGAAGTGCTCTCCAACACCACAGGCTCATTGCATCCACAGAGATACTTATTCTGTTCGTGCTTTTGACAGATTGCCACTAAGTTTTTCAAGGAAAGCTGGAAAGAAATAGTGGCACCTGGTAGGTTTTTTCCTCTTCTTTGATTGTGCATAATTTTTCTTATAGGCAAAAGGCAGGGAAGAACAGCATAGTCTGAATCAGTTAATTATGTATAAATGCAGAAGAATGCACGCTGAACCCTTTGTCCTTTATTACATTTATTATTTCCTTTGGCTTGTGCTTGTGCTAGTGACTTGAAGCATTATTAAAAACATTCATGAAGCATAGTGACAAACCTTTCTCTCTTTTGTAACCTTGCTCTGTGATATTTATCACTGGGATCAGACTGGGAAGTGGAATTTCACGGGCCTCGTGAGGCACAAGGCTCATCAACAATTTGCTGTCAGCTGCTCCCTTCAGAATCTATCAAAAATATTTCTTTTCCAGTTATCCAGTTTGGCTTTGTCACGCTCTTTGTTGCCTCCTTCCCTCTGGCACCTCTCTTTGCTCTCCTGAACAACGTCATAGAAGTCCGTCTCGATGCAAAGAAGTTTGTTACTGAGCTGAGGAGGCCAGACACAGTAAGAGCAAAAGATATAGGTAAGCAGTGGAAAAACTTTGCAGTGAAGATAATGCAAAAAGTGCAATTAAAAAAAAAAAAAAGAAGGAAAAACCTAGTAAATCCATTAACAACTCTGTTTTTCATTTACAGGAATTTGGTATGACATTTTGAGTGGTATTGGAAAGCTTTCAGTTATCATTAATGTAAGTATTTGGTTATACCAGTTTCCAACCATGATCTTTGGAGCTTATATTGTCCCTTCAGCATAATTTAAAAGTGAAGTCTAGTTTTCTCTATTTGCCAAGAAAATAAGTTGAACTTGATGGTCTCAGAGGTCTTTTCCAACCTAGATGATTCTGTGATTCTGTGACATCTAAATTATCCAGTTCATTCTTGTTAAATTGCAAAACATGGTTTAATTACAAATTACCATTCCCTCATCCCATTCTCTCTATTCTCATGTTATGTAGATCAATAAGACTAATCCATATAAGAACAACCAGTGAAGGGGAGGTAAAGCAGTCAACACTCCACATAATAAATAAAGATCTACTTCCCATTCATACCCATGGATTTTTCTGTTGCTCTGCCAGTGTAACTACTGGTATGAAGAAAAACAATGTAAATATTACATCTTGGATTCTAGGACCAGAAAAAAAAATCTTAGTGGGAAAATACACTCTTTCACAGAACAAAAACAATTACTTCAGTATAATGTGTGTCTGGTATAGAGATACATTATGTTTATTGTTCCATATGTATTCCTTAAGTAAAATTTTCCTGATATGTTTTATGATAAAAAAGACTCATGCCCTAGGATTTTAATTGTAATACTAACTAGTGGGTTTTTAACCCACAGGTCATAAACTTATAGAATTATTTAGGCTGCAAAAGATCTTAAAGATCATGAAGTCCAACCATGAAATATCAAAGATATCAAAGCCCTTTAGAAAGTCAGAGGATTTTCACTACTGAAGGGATATTATGATGTCAGGCATAAATTGCAGTTGTCCAGCACTGCTCTGTGCTGGATGAGCAAAACTCTACAGCCTCTTGTTTTTATCTGAATGTACTTTGTAGATTTATTATCCTTGGTTATTGTCTGTGTCAAAAGAACTCTGAAAATGTTTATTGCCTGGGGATTCCATTAAAATATCAGTAATATTTTTCTCTTGACAAAAATTTAAACATGCATATCCATTTGAAAAAAATATTGAGTGCCCAGTTATGTCTCTGCATCTGAACAATATTGATACAGGAAATTATTATTTAGCAAAATGTAATTTTAAATAATCATAGAATCATGGAATGGTTTGGGTTGGAAGGGACCTGAAAGATCATCTAATTCCAACCCCTCTGCCATGGGCAGGGACACCTTCCACTAGCCCAGGTTGCTCAGAGCCCCATCCAACCTGGCCTTGGACACTTCCAGGGATGGGGCAGCCACAGCTTTTCTGGGCAACCTGTGCCAGGGCCTCACCACCCTCACAGGGAAGAATTTTTTCCAATATCTGATCTAAATCTACTCTCTGTCACTTTGAAGCCATTGCCCCTTGTCCTGTCACTCCAGGCCCTTGTACAAAGTCCCTCTCCAGCTCTCTTGGAGCCCTTTCAGGCACTGGAAGGGACTCTAAGGTCTCCCTGGAGCCTTCTCTTCTCCAGACTGAACAACTCCACCTATCTCAGCCTTTCCTCATAAGAGAGGTGCTCCATCCCTCTGATCATCTTCATGGCCTCCTCTGGACCTGCTCCCACAGGAGTAAGTCCAGAGGACAAATCAAAGGAATTCTTATTGATATGATTTAGATACTTCTGGGTCTGGTTCACAATTACTCCAGCTTTATGAGATACCAGTTTTATGAGAATTTTATACCACCATGAGATCCACCCATGCCAGATGTGTAAATCCTGATGCAGAGGGGAAAATGGAGAATGAATACTTTACACTCAACAGGTTTGTCTCAGATAACACTGTGTAACTACACCAAAATATGCTCCAAGTTATAATAACTAGCTATTATGTCTTGTTGCAGGTTTTTTTTTAAATTAGTGATAAACCTCCTAATGGCTTTAGGGATGGAAAGAATTGAAGAAATGGAGAGTACATTATTTGCTTTTGCTGCTCTATGCTGTAAGAAATGCTGCACTTTCCTAACTTAGCCTTCCCCTGGAGAGACAGAGCAGGTTACTGTGCATTTATATATGCAAATATTCTGTACCATTCAATTCTCACTTCATCACCACTCCAAATTTACTTGCACATGAAAATAATTAACCTGGAACGGGTCATTCATAGATTCATGATGCTGTTGTTTGGTTGGGTGTTTTTTTTGTCTCGCAGGCTTTTGTAATTGCTGTCACATCCGATTTCATTCCACGCCTTATGTACCAATATGCATACAGTCAGAGTGGAACCATGCATGGCTTCATCAATCACACGCTCTCCTACTTCAATGTCAGTCACCTCAAGGCTGGGACACAGCCAGCAAACTCCCTGTTTGCACAGGATGTTTTATTCTGCAGGTAAGGTGCCTCTTTTCAAAGTGGGAACTGATAATATTCAATTATACACCCGCATATTCAGTAATATTCATGAGCCTTTGTACAGGTGGTTTTAAAAGTACAGCTTTTGGAGTATTCCCACTGTGTTAGAAGGTTCTTAAAAGGGTTTTTCCAGCGCAAAAGGCAAAATAGGCAATTTAGGCAGACTTACTCAAATGAAAAAATATTTTATTTATTGAAAGATGAAACTTTAATTAAAAAGAATTAATTTTTAAAATGGATACCCAGTAATTAGAACCACAGTTTCTTTTTTGCTGAAATCTGAGTTTTCAATATGTTATGCCCATCTTTAAAACGTGCACCATTCGCCATCTACATGTCTTATATTTCAATTCATCTTTCAGACTGGGGAAACAAGGCTCAATTTCCTTTAAAAGATGTCCAAAATGTCAGATGCCTATGGAGTAGTTCTAGTTTGCAAGAGAAATCACTAAGGTGGTTCCAGGGCTTTCAAAGTAACCTTGTTTTTTTATAAAAATATGAAGAAATTCAAAGAACTTGTTCAAGGCAGTGCAACCCAAGGCTGCTCAAAATTGGGTCAGTGCTATATTCAACAGCCTGCCTCACCTTCCTTGTGGAGTCCCTTGAAACCCACTGTGCTTGGTCTCTGCAATAGCACAAAATCAGCACAAAGGTTCCTTTTCCATTTCTTTAAGGAGAGCCTTAATTTATTTGAGTTTTATTACACACAGGTCTTTAATTGACCTCCCTTGTTGTGTTGCCTAATATATCTCACACTTAGGATCCCACTTGTTTTAAGCAAGGTATTTATCTCACCCAACTACAACCCACAAAAATTACACATCTCAGTTCCTTCACTGGAAGCAGAAGAACCAGGGAGAGAAATCTGGCCCTGTGACTCCAGCACTGGTCTCAGGGTTGCCTTTGGGGTGCACCTGCCTTCTCACCTTGACTACAATAGAAGATAGGAGAGTGCACAGCTAAGACCTCTACTTTCTGATAGACTGTGTTCCTAGCATTTTTAATTTGTTTCCCCAAATTAGCCTGTTTTCCTTCAGCAAACATCTCGATTCACTTCATTGTGGCTTTGCTACTTTCACTGTGCTATTATTTACCTGATGTCAGCCTCTGTTTGTGAGTGCCAGTGTATTTGGAGCTGTGTGTGTGTGTGGACAACAGTGATGAAATGCTCTCCTCACATTAGCACGGCCAAATACAGCCAAATTACTTAACAGAGCCCAAATACAGGGAAGAAAGGAATAATCTACGGTAAGCATAATAGTGGTTCCTGCCTGATAATATCAAGTCCATGCCACTGAGAAGAAGGAAAAATTAATAAGTGTTTGATCATGTGCTAATCTGAATGGGAAAGTACTGTGAGAGTGTTTCTGTTCTGTTATCAGGAAACAATTAGGAGAAGACATCACCGTTTTGGTGTATTATCATCCTCCTCTTTTCAATCTTATCAAAATCTCAGCTTTGGACACAGCTATCACTGTGATAAAATACGGGGTATCTGGCTTATGTCCCAAGGGACAGGCAGCAAACACTGCCCCTTATGCTGGAAATAAAATCTGCATTTCTTTTTCTGGCAAATATGTTGGGAACAAGCTGACCTCTCTTATTCTTAGATTTCTGTGACCTCTGGAGATAAATGTGGTTACAATAAGCCTGAGTTTTGCTCTGTACGGGCATTGCCAGAGATTAAGGTGTCTTTAAAAAAACCTTAGCAAGCCAGAAACAGCTCTGCCACCGAACATACAGAATACATTCTTTGAATGTTTTAAGCAGCATTTTCTCCAATGCTGTGAACTCCTTGACACTGCTGCCAAATAAACATTGCTGCAACGACGCCCTGATGCACAGCATTAGTTTTAATGATTTTTTTTTCCCACAGAAAAATGACATTTGTGTAGCTGAAGGCAAATTAAAAGCAAAGCTTGCTAAGATATGTGACATTTTTATTGGTTTGGCCCTTTTAATCCTTATAATCTGTTGTGATAATGGGGTACATAAAAGTATGCTGGTCACACTGAAAAGAAGAAAGCAGCAGGTATGGACTCATTAAAGGGACTTTAACATGGATCTGCTCTGATATTCAGCGAATTTATAAAGTGTCTTTGAATGAATTGATTTTTTTAGTGTCCTGGGATTCATCTCATCTACTTCTAATGATCAGTGCTGAATTCTAACATTTTTCCCTGACTAATTTTTATATACTCCCGCATTGCTGAAGAGGTACTTCCTTGTGATTCAGGATGTTTTCCTCAAAGACCAGCTGAAAAAGGAAATTAAACAGATGAGCATATTTGGACCGATTTGCAGTTCCACCTACATGTACAACTTGATATGTTTTTTACCAGTCTTTCTTTTTTCCCACACAATATACTTCTGAAATACAATAGCATCTTTCTCTTAGCTCTGGCTTCAGTTCACTCTTGTCCAAGTATTGTGTGGTTTTCTCCATCCATCGTCACTTCCCTGACTTTTCTCTACTTTCAGTGTGTATTTTTCTATTTTCCCTCAGAACTTTTCTGTACTCCATTCTTCAACCATATTGACTACTTCATAATCTTGTCCTTTTTCAGTGGTATTAGCATTGCTTACTATTTTTGAAACACAATAGTCTTTGCAGCATTGATTGTTTGCTGTTCCTATCATACCTGCTGAAACAAGTATTTTAGGAATGAAGAATTGAAGAGATGAGGGAATCACAGAGCAATAAAGTCAGAGAATATCCTAAATTGAAAGGACCCACAAGGATCATGAAGTCCAACTCCTGGCCCTGCACAGGACCACCCCAAGAATCACACCTGACTCTCAGTGCCTGAGAGCATTGTCCAAACACTTTTTGAACTGAAAAGATGGTCTTTGTAAAAAAGAAACTACCTGTGGAATATAGTGGTTAGAAAAGGGCCAGGTTATTGCACTCTGAAGTCCCATGTGACACAGAATAATTAAAAAGGGAGGTGGGGAGGAGGCCCAGCTACCTCATCTGTAGCTCTGGCAAAATATCCCTTCCCTGTAAATCATTTGCTAGTGTTCTGTTGAATGTAGATTCAGGCATCACAAGCCCTGTGATTTCCAGCTGAGCCAGGTGAAATTTCCAAGGGGTCTGATGTCCTGCAACACTTACATAGTTTGTGAAGCTCTGAATACATCAAATGGAAAACCCACCACAGTTGGTGACCCTTCCAGGTGAACCTGGGCTGCGTTTCAAGACTGGGATTGATTTATAGTGCTCGGCAAAATCCACAACAAACTCAGTGGTTTTCCTTGGCTTTGATGTTCAAGCAGATTAAATTCAAGGGAACTGACTCTGGCCCTCGCTGCAGGGCTTGGACACAGATTTGAGCAACATGTGGGAATCCACAATGTCCAGAAAGGTACCAGAGGGGGGATCTCACAGTGCAGGCACAGCACAGGAGTCCTGAGTAAGATGCAATGGAGAGCTCAGCTGCTGTGCTTAAACCACTGCACAAAACAAACAAACCAGGGGCTAACACAGCCCAGGTAGTGCTTCCATAAATTAGTACAGTCCCCAGTTTAAAGCTGTTTTCTCCTCCTCTCCCACCTCCCTCTCCCCGTTGTGGGTTGCACCTTGTGTCTCCAGAAGCTGCAGCACAGAATCACATCCAGCATTTCAGACTCAGTTTCTTGGGGGTGGGGAGTGGCAGGATGCAGAGGATGCGTGGATTGTAAATGTATAATTTAACATGCAAAGCCATGTGGATAGAACCTGAAGGTAATTTTGGTAAGCACACCTGCAAACTGAAGCTGACAGATGTTATATATGAACTTTCTCCATTATCCCCCAATGGAGGCTTTTTCAGAGTCTAATGAATCTTACTGTCAGGACGGGTTTTGTGGTATTCAAAACAGATTTTCCCTTTCTTAATTTCATCCCATTACTCCTAGTCAAACACTGGGAACAGCATTAAATTATCCCTTTCAGTCCTAAGGGCACAATTTGTGCATGGTTATCATGTCCAACTGTGGCTGTTACTTACCAAAGTGGAGCAATACATGTGCTGCTCTTTAATCTTTTCTGGTGAGTCAGTCTCCTCAGCCCTTGTATTGTTTTGCTGAACTAACTTCAATTTGTTGCTATTTTTTTCTTTGGTTTCCTTTCCCCCCCATCCCTTTTTTTTAAATCTTTTTTCCCCTCTGAAATCTGCACAGCTGAATGGCTGAATGCAGCATTCCAGGTGTGGTTTTACCTGAGCTAATACCCCCCCCAGCACCATTGTGACTTGTGTTTATACACCCACAAGTCATACTGTCCTGCTGCCATATTTCAAACTTGTGCTAACCTGCTGGCCACTGCAAGCTCCAGGCCATTTTCATTGCATTTTCTTTCAAACTCTATCCTTTCGAAGATCCTTCACTTGTTTTATTTTTAATTATTTTCCATTTCCCCATATTATTCTCATTGCGTTTCCTGTATCCATTTCTTATTGCTTTCTGTGTTTCCTGCTATATGCAAAACTTTCCAATTTAGGAGCATCTGTGATTTTTATTAGCCTGTTGTTTACTTCCAAATGATTGATGATAATACTAAAAGCAACAGTCTTTACACTAAACCACTAAGGCTCTGTTTTATCCTGTCTAAGGCTAGACAGTTAATTTAGGAAGTGCCTTTCCCATGGCTCCCCCTTTCATTAATGCAAAGACAGGAACCACCAAAGTGAAAGTCACATTTTATGTGGGCTGAATTATTCCCTAAATGAATCAAGGTTTAGGTGAGATGAATGCAGGCTTATCTCCTTCTGAAAATGCCTTGTACTGTCTCTCTGCTTTCACTTCAGCACTTTATTCCCTGTACACTGAGGTCAATTTAACACCAGGAATAAAAAGGGGACGTTTGTCAATCCTGTAAAATCTGGACATTTCCAACATTAGAACAATGTTCTGATTTTGGTTACAACTGTGAAAACCAGACTAAGCTTGTTCAATTCAGTGGAGGTAGTCCAGCTCTAATTCTGGAGTTGTATTTCATAATAAGGGTTGAAGTGGGAACATCTGGAGGGTTTGATTCTTTAGGTTTTGTGACTCTAAAATCATGTTAATCAAAGCAATTGGTGCTGGAGGAAATTGCTGGAACTGTGTGATAACTGAGCTGTCTCCACTGACAGGTTCAAAGACTACAGAGAACCACCTTGGTCCCCAAACCAGTATGAGTTTTCTAAGCAGTACTGGGCAGTCTTATCTGCTCGCTTGGCTTTTGTTATTCTATTTCAGGTAAGTCTGGTGAGTTGCTTCAATTTATTTCAGAAATCTAGTAAAAACCAGATTGCAGTGCACGTGCCAAAGCAGCCCATGTCCATTAGAGCTTTTCTCTTTGCGCATACCCAGCCTGCTGAGGGGTTAGTGGGCCTCAGCACAGGTTCTCCCTTTGGAGCCCTGTGGAACTTCCTCAGCAGAGCTTTCTTCTCCCTTCATGGAAGAGAGTGCCACAGCCTGCATTAACCTGTGGCACTAGCAGGGATCCCAAAAAACCCAGGCTGTTGAACATTCAAGTGGACTCTGTCAACTTTTATACTCTCAGGGGGTGATAAAACCTCCAAGGCTTTTTGCTACTTTCTTGAAGTAAGCGCAGCAAATTCTCCTCAGTGTGAAGATTTCATTAGCAAGGGATTTGCTATTATGATTTGCCTTCTGGATGGCTTCCTTCTCCTCTCCTCCGTGACCTGGAATCCTTCCACAGGGTCCATCCCTCTTGTGGAAACCTGCCTGTGTTTCTGCCTCACCTGTCAAGTACTCCCAGTGTTACTGTGAATCTTGCCTGGTTTGTATTGCCCTCTTCTGCTTCTTTGCTGTGCCTTCAGTAATTTTCCACCACTGGCTGCAAAACAGTTGAAACGAACTCGTTCTGCTGGGCTTCAAATGGAAGAAAGGCCTTCTGCCTGTTCTGCCAGAATACATTCCCTGGTTAATTAGCTCCATTGTCTGGGCTGGGGACAGGGAGTTCATTCTAGCAGCCTTGTCAGCAAACATTCTCACACATTTTGAGGCATTACACAACACAGCAGTTTTCAAAGAATTACCATGATAGCATCGTTTATCTATAAATTTCATAAACAGGCAAAACTTTTTGCCCAGTCTGCTTCCTGCTTGGTGTTATGAGCATCACCTGTAACAACCTTGACAGGTGAGGTTTGGGATTGTGGCTTGAGGGTTGTGGTAGCGTAAAAACAATCCTGCTTGTTCGCAGAGAGAAGGATTTGAGGATAGAATGACCATGAAAGTTGTATAGAGTCTGCTCAGGCCACATTGGAAGCACATGGGCATGGTCTGTGTTGGAGGATGCCCTTATATTAATGGATTCTGAACTCAGTCTCAAGGAACTGGATGCTGAGAACTGAGCACCTATGGATGCCTGTAAGGAATAAGGCTGTTTTTGTTCCTAAGGCCATGAATCATTTGATGAATCCAAGTCCTTTCCCATTTCACACCTAACTGAAGCACACATTCAATACAACCACTCCACTGAGGGGTAGCTTCGCACAAACCTGAGCTGTCTCTTGAAAAAAAAGCCTTGCTCAAGTGCTTACTGCCACACACCGTCAGCAAAATGTATTTGATACCTGTCTCATAGCAGTAGAAAAGGTTTGGTTTTGCTCCAGCGTGAGTATTTTGGATTTTTCACTCTTGCTTCACATCTGTTGCTGTGTTTGCAGAACCTGGTGATGTTCCTCAGTGTTCTGGTTGACTGGATGATCCCTGACATCCCCAAGGACATCAGCCAACAGATCAAGAAGGAGAAGAGCGTGCTTGTTGACTTCTTCCTGAAGGAGGAGCATGAGAAACTGAAGCTGATAGAAAGCTTTATGGCACGAGACAAGCGGAAACGCAAAAGTGGGAGCAAGAGCAGAAGGAGCAGGGCTGCCAGCTTCTCCCAGTCTACCCGGAGTCCCAAAGGCAGCTTCACCTCCTTTAGCTCACAGCACACGGTGGTGTGACTTCCTAGGGAAGGGGAACATGCTGTGCTTACCTCTGCAACACCTGCTTACTGTGTGAAGTGATTCTGAATCCAGAGCGAGGGAGGGAGAGACAGTCAAGCAAGGGACATGGAGCAAAAAGGAGGCTTCATTTGCTTCCTTACAAACTCCATATGCAAGGAACTCTGTTATATTTTATATGCTATCTGGGCTGCAGCATTTCCAGACTTTATCAGTGCAAGATAAGGGCTATATTGTGGCTGTAGCTGGTTTTTGTGGTGATGTGACTTGGGTAGACATGCGGGAATTCTCCTAACTTGTGCAGTCTCTGCAGTAGGACTGCAACCATCCCTCTTCCTGCAGACACCCTGTGGGGATGGGAACACTCCTGCTCTCATATCTACCTTTGGGCAGGTCTGACTGACCATGGAGAAGTGCACACAGCTCATGGTCTCATTGCTTCTAGCTGCCAGTGGGTGGTTGACAAACATTTGGGGCCTCAAGGAGTCATTGTGCCTTCCTGACATACACAAGGTGCTACCCTTGCAGGGCAGGCAGGGCTGTTGGTAGGGGCACAGAGATGTGGAAACACGAGGAATTAAAATCCCTGTGCACTTGCATCCACAGATATATTGTTTTTTGCTTAGCAGGAGCTTGAATGCATGTGCTGATGAGCAGGGAGGCCATAACGTGCATCAGAAGCTGCTACAACCAGGGAAGCTCCTTGTTGTTCATTGTCCTGAACACAAAAAAAAACCCCAAACAAACCCCTGCATGTTTGATTCTCCTCTCACTTAGACTGGGAATTCAGCCAGTATCAGAGGAATCATGCCACTGAACCATCAGGGTGAAGCTGAGGAGTGAGACTGGAATTAAGCCCTGTAAATCATGTGGCATTTTCATGTACATCGCGCGTAAAGTAACAAAAATTGCTGCTGTTGTGATTTACTGTAAAGTAAAATGTTTTGCAGAATTGCATTTCATTGGAAGATACACATATTCACTAACCAAGCTTTCAGCTACAAGCATTTAATGAATAACTCTGTTCTGTCATGAATGAAAATTAAACTTTATTAAAAAATCTGTTTCTTTTACTGTGGGCTCTGTCTCTTACTCATCTCGAAATTCAGAGTCAGGGTAAAAGATTTGCTTTCCATTTTGTCTTCTCAACAATACTTTCAAAAGTACAAACCAAAGAAGTGCTTCAGTTTCAGGCCTTCTACAGGATTGCTCTCTAACATTACAATCATATTTTATACATTTCTGAAGCCTAAGATTTCATTGTTCTTGTAGATGGAAAGATTTTTCTTCTGTGACATCTTTTGTATTATGAGAGATGTAAAAATAATAGTGTGGGGGTTTTTTTGTTTGTTTTTTTGTTTGTTTTTTTCTTCTTTTTTTTTTTTTCATTCAGTGCCTAAACTAAAGCAAATCAAAATGGGAGAACTGTTTCAGGGTGGGATGAAATTATAAAAAAAATTCATTTTGGAATTTCATTTTTTAAATTTACTTTCAGGTAATTTATCCCTCCTCTATAGTAATCAAATTTGAAATGATAACATCATCTTGAATAAAATTGCAAGTGTTGAATTTCGTTGAAAAAAAGTCTGACCTCTCCAAATGTTTTCTTCTTTTTCCCTGTCAAAACTCATTTGCTGAATTTTAAATGAATTCAGAGACGGTTCTTCCCCTTTCAGAAACTGGTTTTTGATTTTTTTTTTTTCAATTAATAATGACTTTCTAGGGGTATTGCCCAGAACTCAGTTTGGCTGTATATGCCTAAGATTACAAATACAGCTTGTAAATGTGCAAAAATGTGTAGTATTACAATATCTCTCCCTTTTTTTATGCATACATTATCTAAAAGAAGATATTTGATGAGCTTCTGCCATAACGATCTGTGTGTAAACTATTGACAATTTATACATTTGTTTTTTCTGATTGACCAAGATAGGAAATTCATAGGGAAAAAGTCCTCTTTAATACAATTTTAGCTTTTTCTTAGTATACACACCTCAGAGTCATCTGTGGTCATGTAAATTGCATTCTTGTCATGCAGAAAATCATCTGGGGGAGGCTCAGAGGATGGGATTTGCGTGGCCAAAACATAACTGTTAAAATTTTAGGCATCCAAAGCAGTGTGGGCAGCAGGAGAGGGGGGGATTCTGCCCCTCTGCCCTGCTCTGGGGAGACCCCCCTGCAGAGCTGCCTCCAGCTCTGGGGGCCCAGCACAGCAAGGACATGGAGCAGTTGGAGCAAGGCCAGAGGAGGCACTAAGATGATCAGAGGGATGGAGCAGCTCTGCTGTGAGGAAAGGCTGAGAGAGTTGGGATTGTTCAGCCTGGAGAAGAGAAGCTTTGGGATGACCTAATGGTGGCCTTCCAGGACCTGAAGGAAACCCACAAGGAAGATGGGGAGAGACTATTTCCAAGGGCCTGGAGTGACAGGACAAGGGGGAATGGCTTCAAACTGACAGAGAGCAGGTTTAGATTGGATATTAGGAAAAGATTCTTCCCTGTGGGGGTGGGGAGGCCCTGGCACAGGTTGCCCAGAGAAGCTGTGGCTGCCCCATCCCTAGGAGTGTCCAAGGCCAGGTTGGATGGGGCTCTGAGCAACCTGGGCTAGTGGAAGGTGTCCCTGCCCATGGCAGGGGGTTGGAACAAGATGATCTTTCAGGTCCCTTCCAACCCAAACTACTCTGATTCTCTGTCCATCTCCTTCCCTGCCCTGTGGCAGGAATCCCAATGTCTTCCTATTAGATTGTGTGTTTGCACTTTAGTTTACAGAAGATCAACGCCAAACCTCCCAAGTCAGGGTGCTTAAGATTTTAAGATCACAGTAAGAATTAGCAACTGCTTCTAGCAGTGATCCAGCATTCCCAAGTGACCATTTGGTTTTGTTTGTTTAAATTTTGCTAGGTGCTTGAATTAATTTTATTTTTCTTTAAAAATTTGCCTCCCTCCTCAAAATCTGTGACAGGTCTGAGACATAACCTTTGATTTCCCTCCTCTAAGATTAACATTTAAATGGGGGAACTCTATCTCCTTGAAAACAAATTGTCTCATTTTACCTTCAAAAGACCAGCAGGCTCTGTTGGGGATTCCATGGTGTAATACATTAAGGCAGTCAGTATTAATAACATCTATTCCCTCATTTACAAAAGGATACTCTGGTGGTAGATTTGGAAGTTTGAAACAGTTGGGGCTTTGGAACTGTCTATGTTTGCTGTTTACAACTCTAGTTGATTGAAATTCAATCCATTCTCTTCAAAAAGCCTCTGGTGGGGAGAAACTTTATGTTTCCAACTAGTAGAAATATCAGTCCTGCCAGACCTTTAGATTATCATAATGCTCCCTCTCTTTTTCCAGGAATGTGGGAGGGCGTGCAGAAATGGGTTTAGAAAGAGATTGCAGGCAGGTTACATGGCACCCTCTTCTCCAGTGACTTGTTTGATGAAGGATACTCAGAGTTAAGGGTCTTCTTAAAATAGAACCATTTTGTACACCCTCCCTCCACCCAGGAAATACCTTTTTAAAAACTGTGAGTCACTGAAAAACAGTCAGAAAATGCTATCCCAAAGTCGAGTGCATTAGGATGTTGTTACACAGAATTTCCATAACAAGCAACTGAAATGCTTGCTATGGTCCAAAAATGATAATGTGTTTCTAGATTTCCTAGCAGAAGGAACTAGAGAAGCCAGCAGATGTACACTGATGCTCTGAGAGTTCTCCTGAGGTTTATATATTTCACCCAAACAAGGCTGGGAAAGAGGCACAGCAGCAATCGCGGCTGACGTCCAGATGGGATCTCCCATGATATCACAGACAGGACAGACAGCTCAGTTATCGTTATCTGTGATGTGGTTTCTGTTTTTCTCTTAAACTTGAGAGTTTCATTCACTGAGAATTCCTGCATGTTTGGTACCTGACTCAGGTGCAGTCCCTGAGGGTTGCATCCTTTGTTACATTTCTATGGCAACCTCTGGATTCTCCTGACACCGCTGCCCATCAGCTGCTGTAATTGTAGATCACTGATCAGGTGTTCATTCATTCTCAGTTTCTAACTTATCTCTTTTGGACAAAGGCAGACTTTATCTGCTCCCTTTTTATCAGCATGATACTTGTAAGTCTACCCACAAAGCTCCCCCTTGCCATAAGTTGTGTCTCCGAAGCAGAGAGTGGCTGTTCCAAGAGATGTGGTGCAAGTGGCCCAAGAATAGGGGTGCAAGTAGAAACACAGAGGTAACAAAACCTGTGAGCTATTGTCACTCCTTGCTTTAGCAATGAAAACCAGCTAAAATCTCTGCAAGAGAAAGGAAAAAGCAGTAAGCAGATTTGGACCACTCCAAATATAAAGTGACAAGTTCAATTAAAACAAACAGGCAAACAAAGGAAAAGCAACACATCTTGGTGTGTGAGTAACTAATACCATACTGAGCACTACACCTGGTCACAAACCACCAAATCCACACTCCAGGCTTCCTGGAGTCTCATTAGTAGGAACCTGTGTAACTGCGCATCTAATCAGAACAGTGCAAATAGGAAGCCACAAAAGGGAGGAATGGGATTGTTCGATGCCTTAGCACAGATATAACTGGATGTGACCTTGTAATTGTCAGGCAACATAAGGTGTGTCCAGGCCTCTGTGGCCAGAAGAAACTCATGGCCACCAAAAGACTTTGCTGCTCCATTTTCTGCAGCTTCTCCTTTGGACTGTTGGTGCAGGGTAGTTTTAAAAGAGCTTTCAGAACTTATTCAGGAGAAGAAATCTCCGTGAGTCACTCTATGCTCAAATGCCATCAGGCAGAGAATCCACCCAGATGAACACTCTCACAGTGGTTATCCCAAGTTTAAAGAGGGCTTTCTAGACCTGAGTGAAGCTGCAGGAATGTTAATCTTTTCTGTCACATCTTCTTCAGGCAGACCTGCCCATTTTTTTTTTAATAATCAGCACTTGGTATCTTTTTTTGTGACGCATTTTCAGTCCTCATCCTTCTCAGCTTTGCTATCTAGACTTCATCTGCAATTCAAGCTTTCGTGACACTCAAAGTCTTCCTTTTTCCAGGAAGAAAAGGGTAGCCTATGTGGAAGTATGTCTGTTAAATTACTGCTTCACCATGCACAATATTTACCACTGTTAGCAATAAACTCTTCTGACTACAATAATATAACATCTGTTGCTGTTATGCAGTCTCACCCTTTAATTAGGCACAGATGGTCTTTCTGTTCCCCATCTGGTCTGATTATTTTGCTTTTGAAGAGAAAATATAAACCAGTTTTGTTTGTGACCTATTCTTTGTAGGTAAATTCCTCCACACCTAATACTGGATAACTTGTGTGTCCAGTAACACAAGTTTTTCAGATATAACAGTGCCTCACTTAGAGGTAGGGAGAGAGAAGGAGGATGTACACCTGAACTCCCAGTTCTTACCTTGTAAAGGCCATCAGCCCATGGTTCTTCTGAAAGGCCCACAGACAATGGAGGATCAAGAATATTTTTACCAAAAAAAACGAGTACAGAATCTGTGCTCATTTTGCCCTACGTGCATCTTTTTCAGGGAAGTTTCTCTGCGTTAGTTATTTTCTAAATGTGTTTTAATCTGTACTTAATCCCTCAGTACTACCAAAACTCTGAATATTCCCATCCTTTACTCATCATCTGCAAATGTACTCAATTATTAATTGATTACTAAATTATTAATAGCTGCAATAATTAACAGGGTGCCTTACTGCTTCTTTCACGTCCCCAGCAGAATTCTTAAAATCAACCAGATTCCGTAACAACTCCTGAGACAGACTGATAACATGCTTTATTTATACATAATGATCTGATGAAATCTTTTTATTTATATATATATTTTCAGTTGCTTGTTGACACAATTCTGCAGCTTTCCCTGATTCTTAAGAATCACTAACAATGGCTCCTACTCACACCTACGGTGTTTCCAAGCTATTTCCAGTTCCACAGATACACTTTTAATGAGCAAAATGATTACTATCAAAGGATTATATACATATCATT